CTCAGGTGAAAGACTTCATCCCCAGGGTTTTGATACGCTATGCTGTGACATTTTCCTGACTTTTATAGACATGCTATTCTTTGACTTTTTCATACTTTTTAATTTATTTTTTCGACATACGATACACTGTTCATAACTTTTTTCAACATACTATACCATGACTTTTTCTGGACATCATACACTATGTCTTTTATTGATGTACTAAACTTTTTTTAACATGCTGTACTAAGATTTCATCACGACATTTTTCTACATGCTATCCTATGACATTTTTATGACTTTTTTCAACATATTATACTATGACCTTTTGACATTTTTCGACATACTATACGATGACTTTTTATATTTGTTTGCATGCTATACTATCACTTCATTATGACATTTTACATGTTATATTATTACTTTTTCATGACATTATTCAACATGCTATACTATGACTCTTTTAAAAACTTTTTTTCAACATTATACTAGGACTCTTTTATGTTTTTTCAACTAAAAGTTTTTAATGAATTTCTTCGACATACTATACTACAACTCTTTTATGATTCTTCAACATGTTATATTATTACTTTTTTCGACATAATAAAGTGTCTTTGTTTTACTTTTTTTCGACATACTATGACTTTTTTCATGATTTTTTACGACATACAAAACTATGACTTTATAATGACTTTTTGTTGACAAACTATGCTATGACTTTTTATAACTTTTTTTAACATACTACACTCAGACTTTTTAGGACACTTTTCAACATACTATACTATGATTTTTTCAAGACTTTTTTTGAAATACTATTCTATGGCTTTTTTATGGCTACGTTGTGATTGAGAAGTTGCAACCACAGAGTTGTCCAATCTGGGAGTTGTATATGTTTACGTCTGACAACCTTAACCATTGTGTGTGTTTTCAGTTCACTAAAGTTAACCTTTTTGGTCACCCAACAATGTCTTATTCAGCATTTGGTCTCCACCCTCTCGTGTCACTTCTGGTTGCCAAAATCCAAGATGGCAACATAATCCATATTAACTCCCTTGTTAACTCATTCATTACTCCTGGTAGACGGTCAACCGTTCACCCTATATTGAGCAGTAATTTGAGATTTGGACACTGACTTCTCATCATTTCAGTGTTCATCAGTGTACATGCTATGGACACTACTTTTTCATCACATTGTGGACATTTTGAGGGCACTATATAGTGGACACATTTCCATACTCTTAATTTCGACACTTAATATAAAACGGTTAACCATAAAGTGCACTGTATAGCAAATAGGGAGTGAAATTCAGACACAGCCTACGACTGATCCACAATATCAGCTCAGATATTATAAGTCCCCCAGTCTGGCCTTAGTGCTTTAAGTGGTTGTAGCAATAAAACGTTGATAATTCATGATTGTCCTGTGTGAGTTCACGTGAAGTGCAGTTGAAATTCACCTCACAACATGATATATAATGTCATCATCATCGGGTCATCTTTTTTGTATATCAGTTGTTTTTAATCCTGGACTCCGAGGGTGGAGTTTATACTAACAAAGTATGAGATGGGACTGGGCTTCTTGTTTAGTTGCTGCACAGTGAACCTGACCGAGGTCAGAGGTGGAGCTGAACCATCACTCCTGTCCTCACATGAATGACCCGAGGGAAGGGCAACAAAGGGATGAAAAGGTGGAGGACAAGGGAGGAGCGGAATGACAGACAGACAGAGCATAATGCTCAGTCCTCACTGCACTTTCACTTTTCATCAAGTATTTTGGCTGCGCATGAGCTGAAAGAATGCACCGCGGGGCAGCCTGCAGTTCACCTTGACAGTGCACCGTTCCCCTGAGCATCATCTCTCTGCCACTCCCTGCATCAAAGCCACGTCTCAACATGTATTCAGTCCAGGGCCAATATGTATCCTGAGCATCATCTTGGGGGGATATTTGTCCAAACTAGTAGGACGTACGTGTGTCTTATATTATTCTTATTTTATGTTTTGTCCAGAGGGCCACCTGGATGTGAGACTGAATACAGACCTATTTAGAGAGTGTTTTGACAAGCTGCACTAATGACTAATATCAAGTCCAGTACATCTGCACAAGTTCTCTGATGTCAAAGATAAGGGTTTGACCCCTTATCACATCAGAGGTTACTGAGAGTAATGGCTGGAGGCATAACTCTGTCATGCGCAGGCATGACAGAGTTATGCCTCCACTCTGTCCATATCTGCCTTTTACAGCTTTGTGTCTGTAGGCTGCAGTGGGAGAGGAAATACATGGGTTCACTCTAAGGCATGCAGACATTGATAAACTCACTCTAAAGAGTTTTTTTTTTTTTTTTTTTAAACACTTATCTAAATCCTCAGTGGCTTAAAATAATCTCCTCCCTCTACTGATCAATCGTCTACATACTCCAATGATTTTTTAAAAAGTGGCTTTTCCACAAGCTCTTTTCCCGCTACACCTTGTAAAATGGTGCTGACGTCCCAAAGTAGACTGCTGGGTTGTAAGACTAGCTATTACTGACTTTACCACAACCTATCATTCCGCTACAGTGAAAATTTAACAGAGAGTCAGGTGGTTACTGTAAACTCTTTCCACAAATACAAATCAGGCAGCAAAAACAAACATCTCCTCTTGGTTCCTCTCATTTTAGCTTTCATACATTGTGTCTAAAACTGAGTGGACGGCATAATTGTAAGGTGTAATTTATGTTCTTCCAAATACTCCCACGTCTCATATCTGATCATTATTTAAATTTTTAAATATGTAACCTGTAGCTCAGTCTAAGCGCCTGCTAATACCACAAATGTATAGATAAATTCTTAGTAAAAGACTACATTCTTATATATACATATATATATATATATATATATATATATATATATATATATATATATATATATATATACCAACACCTCACTTTTTCCACCCTCACACACCATAAATAAACAGCAAGCAAGGAAAATAAATTTGCTCATAAAGGACAGATGTTGCCATTGGATACAAGATTAGACTTGGCTTGAAGCTTCCCCTGAGAGAGAAATATAACACTCTCACAGTAAATGATGTTATGTATTGGGTGTGCAGGCCAGTGGAACAGTAGCAGCCAGTGCTGGAGAATGGACACACTCAGCCCTGAAGGCTTTCCACTGTGTACGCCCTGAACCACATCTTCTAACTAAGGGTGATAAAGGGGCCGAATCCAAAATGTTTAAGGAAATCCCTTTCCACCAGTTCAACAATTTGCAATCAGGCCTTTCTTAAACATAACCATGCTCACAGCCACCCTCAGACATGTTGCTGCACACAGTCGGTCTTTTAGCAGCTAATATACGACTGTAAGGCTGGGCAATTGACAAGTTATGACAGGGTTATGATTAATACCATCACAAACTCAGAGAATAATCCAAACAGATTTGAAGTGAGACACGTGCATTCACTTGAACAAAACCCTCCCATCCATCCACATGCTGTTTTCATAAAGGGCCACTTGAAGAAACACTCACACTGTTTGCTCAGTCAGTCAGAGGTCCTCATTGTGTTGACTATTATTCTACTCTCTACAGGGTGGGCTATTTCACTGGAGGTATCGAATGATCACCTTTTCTGTTTTCCCTTGAGTGGATGTAGTGGTCAAAGCATCAATGAGCCACTGTGGAGGTGCAGGCGTCTGACACGCAACCAAAAAGGGAAGCTGTCAATCATCTCCGAGGTTCAAACCACCTCAATAATGCTGTCTTCTGTCAGCGTGAAAATAAAATGTAAAGCCCATCGTGTACATATAATAGTTGCTCTCTACTGTAATTACAGGTTATTGTTAAAGTAATTGCTTGTAAGAATGTTGCTAAGTGATTAGCTCATTTTCCCACCCGCAGGTATTTAATTTATGTTCCGACATGCGAGTTGAAAGGTGTGAAAATAACATGACTAAATGGTCTTGCAACTAGTCCGCTATAAAGACCATTTGTTTACTGTGCAGGATGCTCTCACTGAAGAGCAAACAGAGAAAAAAGGTGATGACTAAACCCTGACCCCTAACACTCTCATTCCTGTCTGGCATCGTGAAAGAAGCTCTTCAGTCATGACAAGTTAAAAAACACACACACACACACACACACCATCCAACATCTCTCCCCTGAGGAGAAGAGAGTAGACCTGGGTGTGGTTGCAGCTCTGGGGCGAGAGTTTTGCATGTTGAACTCCCTTTTTTTAATTTCTTCTCATGGTAAAGTCAAACAGTTTGGAAAACAAAACTCATAGGACAACCTTTATTAATTGCAGAAAATGTTTGCATTTGCAGAGTCTGTAAACATCTGCAGGGAAAGATGATGCAGCTGCAGGGCCACACAAACCACAGGCAACACCACCAGTTGACCAAAGGAAGGGCCTTTGGGAGAGTGGTGGGATTGATGTTCCACTTTTCATTAGAAGAGTTTGGAGTGCACTAAAATAAAGCTCCAAGACTGACCACAAGCATGTACTAAACCGTGCCCTGGCAGCTGGTGACACATCCGAGCCGAGTCTGTAGCCTTGTTATTAGATGGTGGCTTGTTATGAGGTCTTGAACAATGTAACCTCACTTGTCAACAACTCCAGAGGCTTCCAAAGTGCAACAATCTGACATACCTCCAAACTGCAAACTTAATCCAATCTATCGCTCAACATGGCAGAACAGATTTTACTCTCATTAATGGCAATTAACTGCATTCCACACATCAGTGGTTGCAGGCAAAACACTGGCTGATTCTAAATGGAGTTTGAGCTGCAGGAAGAAGCCGTGGAAAACAGGTGAAAACAGACCTGCAGCACCATCTACCTGCAGATGAGAGGACGTGTAGAATAAGCTGTATTAAACTACTATTGTTGATTTATTTAAAAGAGAGCGATGTGATGCGTTTGCTCTTTGGGTGGTAAAAAAGGATTTAAAAAAAACAAAAAAAACAAAAAAAACTAGCAGTTAAGCACTTATCTGTGTACGATGCTACAGTTAGTACCTGATAAATAAATAAAGCTGGAGAAACTTTTAATGATTGTATTTATTAATGCATGAGGAAAGCAAGAAGCTATTGCAGTTCTGCTCAATACATTTCCAACTCTACTGAGCCAACACAACAAATCGTTAGGTCTGCTACTTTCAAAAGACAATAAAAGTAGTTTTATCTAAAAACTATGAATACAAATGGAAATAAAAAAAAAAACATTTTTATGATACAAATTCACCAAAGCTATTTTATCTTTTCCCAATTATCATACTTGCATGTGCAGAGAGCACTTGGTGATCAATACCATCAACATGTCAAAACATCAGGTGTGTAAAATGATCCAGCTCTGTGCAGCAATGTCAGGATCTGCATAAACGTGCTGCCCTCTTGAGGCAAGAGGAAGATCACTTGTAGTTTTGCAAAACAACTCTTGAGAATAAATACAATTTCAAGTAACTAAACAGTGTTTTAGGAGTTTAACAATACAGTTCGAAAATAAATCTAACTAGCAAAGCCTTCCCAAAAAACAGGAAATGTTTCCAAATGTCATATTTACACATTATAGCTGTAATAAGCTGCAAAGGGTTTGTTCCAGGTTTTTATGTTCATTTATGTTAATGACATCTCTTACCCACAGATTGAAACAGAAAAATCAACGTCAGTTAATTTTTTTTTTTTGAACAAGTTCAAATCTAGTTCAAAAAGCTGTTGTGTCCCCAAAATCTTTGTTCCATTTGGTATACATAGTAAGAGTCGCTGAGCCAACACTGGGCTTAATGCGCTTCAGGGAATCCTCAAAGTCTTTCATCTTGATGTTACGCATCTGTGTAGACAGACAAACACAAATACATACTGTTACATACTTCTTAAATGGGCAGAAAGGAAATATATGTCGTATTGTGAATATAGCAATACCTCACTAGCAGCCATACTTCGGACTTGGTCTGGACCCAACTCTGTGTAAGAGAGGATTTTCATATTAAAAAAAGCTGCAGATTTAGTTCGTCACGGAGGCTGAAATACACACCAACGATACCATAATGTTAGGAGGACATCTTACCTCTAATTGGCCCAAGCGCAGCATCTTTGGCTAACGACGTGAGATCACTTCCTGAATATCTTGCACTATTTCTATCAAGTCAAATATCAAGGAATTAATGCATATACACAGAAAAATAATGCCGTGAAAGGCTGTATTGGCATTTAAATATCAAACTCACTTTGCGAGATAGGACAGCTCATTTGTGCTCAATGGACTGCCGTGCTTTTCCAAAAGGTTTTTCAGCAGCGTGAGTCTTGTCTGGAGGAACGAGTTACATCCTATGTATAAATGAACTTTCAAAATGCAACATTCGCATTTCAAAGCTAAGAAAGACACTGATCATAGTAATAAACTGTCAAAATGGTTCCGATGTAAATACCTCCGCGTCAGGCAACGCCACATAAATCCTTTTTGCAAAGCGCCTGTAAGATTAACAGGAGAGGAAAACTGTAGTGAGCTTGTAACAAAATAAATGCATAACAACTGTGCAGCGTGCAGAGTTGCAGCATGTACCTCAGTACTGCTTCATCGAGCTCCTGAGGCCTGTTGGTCGCTCCCATTACGAGCACCCTGTCATCCCCTCCTGACTGCACCTGAAACCAAGAAGCATTGTCGTGAGAATAAAAGCGTAGCTCTCTGAGATAACAGAGACTTAAGCGCTCTGGAGCGGGTTAGTGATCAGATGTCAGAGGCTGCTCTTACCCCATCGAACTCAATGAGGAACTCGGTTTTTAATCGACGAGAGGCCTCGTGTTCTCCCTCCCTCCTTTCACAGAGCAAGCTGTCAACTTCATCTGAATGGAAAATCATAATTAAAATAATTTGGGGTTTGTTTATGAACTGCAATTTTGGAGATTCAATTAGTGTTTGGAGCACATTTAGTCAATAAATAGACGAGTAATACAAACCGATAAAGATGACAGAGGGTTGCAATTCTCTGGCAACTGCAAACAGTGCTCGTACAAGCTTCTCTCCCTCTCCTACCTGTGACGGCGGTAGACAAGAAAGGTTAAAAAAAAAAAAACCTACACTAAGTTTAGTGTAGTGTGGAGACCTACTCTAGACTAAGAGCACTAAAAGTGTTTTCTTACATATTTAGACGTCAAACTGGCTGCGCTGATGTTGAAGAACGTGGAGTTTGACTCTGCAGCGACTGCTTTGGCCTAGTAGAGGAAGCCAGGGTTACATTTCACATCATAATACTGAGGCAGTTTGACCTGGACAAATGTGTATGCTGTGTTGAAAAGAACATTTGACTTACCAGCATGGTTTTCCCATTTCCAGGCGGGCCAAATAAAAGCAAACCATGTGCCGGAGCTCTCAGGCCGGTAAAGAGCTGAATGGCGTGTTAAAAAAAATGTTAAATGTAAATCTGAAAAGGCAGAAATATAGTAAGCTGAGAAAAGATATGAATGAGTGATCACCTCTGGTCTTAAGGCAGGGAGAATGACAATCTCTTGGAGTGCTTGCTTGGCCAAGTCCTGTCCCGCAATGTCTTCAAAGGAAACAGACGCTCCACTGCAATGAACACAGGAAGCTAATTAAACTGCAGCAATTGTTATTTTTTTTTACAATTATTTGGTTTATTATTGTTGTAATAACAATACTTCTAAATACCGGTCAACAATGTCATTCATAATCAAGCTGGCCAGTTTGCTGTCCACATTCTTGAAGTTCTTCATATCCCTCTTTGGGGGCTGTTTCACGGCTGTGGGTTTTCCATTTATAGCTTTTCCAGCCCGTGGGGTCAACTTAGCAGGAACACAAATATCCAGAGAGCAGTACACACTTCATCAGAGTCAGTCATCTTTAAATAACAAACAACTGGGCAACTAAATGTCATTTAAAAATCACCTTTGGATCAGTGGATCTGGATGGGGGTCTAACGAAGGTGGAGGGCTTGATGTTAGTGGGCACGCCTCGCGCTGCAGGCTGGCTTTTGGGCACAGGCTTTGGTTGTGGAAGATCATGATTTGAGGTCTTCAGTGGATTACTCCTCCTTTTTGATGCCATTGTCGCCTCTGTGAAGCAGGAACAGTATTCATATTCAGCATCCCTCTCCAGAGTCAGATGACTAATGAGTCTAGACTTGACCATGATGCCACTTACCTAGAAGAGCAAGCCTATCTCTTGCCATGGTGAGATTGGTGACCATTTTATCTCGAAGTCTCTTTGATCGGTCATATTGCTCTCCTGCTAACAAAACGTGGTGTATAAGGCTAACACATTTTACACTGTGTACAATCATATGTATATACATGTATACTACCTTGTCCCGTGATCTCTACAGCAATCCCCCTTTCAAGCTCAGAAATCCCCTTCTTGTACCACTGTACAGCCTCCTCTTTATCTCCTGGCATTACGGGGAAGAGTGCGTGTTAATTACAAGCTGCCATGCGACACAATGAATATGTCACACTATAAACAAACCTGAGTCATGTTCGTCGATCCTTAGCGCCTTCGATACATACTCAAACGCCTGTTTATGGTAGTTTTTAATAACTTCACCGCTGTCTTTGCTTTTACTTGCCATTCTTTTGGCCGACATTAGCGCTCATTACGTTCAGAGTTAGTCGCTTTTGAGGTGTGTAGGCTTGCTAGTTGTCCTCGCCATTCCGTTCCGTTCAGACCAAGCCGTCGCCATTTTGACTTTTTGCAACCTTTCTTTCTTTCTTTTTTGAGGTTCATTGGCGGTTGGAAAACAATGAATTGGCGCATTACCGCCACCAACTGGTATGGAGTGTGGATCAGGCTGTCTAGTACTTATATAGTTTAATATAATAAAAAAACAATAGCAAAAAAAAAGAAAGAAAGAAAAAGGAACAAAAAAAAAGCAACAGGCTCATATTTTCTTAATAATATTAGTTAGTCTAGGATACTGAAATAGTACTTGATAACATTCACTTTTTGAGTTATTTTGCAGAATATCCACTGCATCAAAACGTACCTCCATCTTGCCGAGCTGCCTTCTTTCTTGTTCATATTTTTGACATTGAACAATAACGTGTTCTATTGTTTCCTCTTGCCCACAATAGTCACATTTGCCTGTTTCATGTTTTCCTATTTTTAGAAGCATACTGTTTAGGCCAGTGTGTCCATATCTAACACTTGGTATCACTGTTTCATCGCTCCTGTTCCTTCCTGCACATCTCACATCCCTCTGAATATGATCCTTGATTTAGGATCCTGTTGGCCAATTGATGTGATGACATCCAGATTACAGCAACTGCAAAACATAGTCTTACACGGAAAATACAGCAGGAATCTTGTCTCTGGTAAAGATAAGGAAAACATGATGAACTGAGGAAATTAGATGATTGAAATGTAAGAGGTCTTCTAAAGATTGAGGCTGAATATTTCAGGTGCATTGCTTCTTTATATCAATATGCAATTCCCCACAATGCACCCTTCCCTTTGATGGAAAGACATTTCCCTTAAAATCTTACTTCAAACAAACACAGACACTTTGCTTCCGATAATTCAAAAATCAGCAAACGACTGTGACCCATTTGTCAACACAATCCTCACATAAATACCAATTATCTGCTAACATTGATATTTTTCCAGACTTTCCTTCATCATTTCAGCAACATCAGGACTCTGCAATACATCACAGAAATGGATTCATCATATGTCATTACTCATTGGGATTAATCCCATAATATCCACTTCTCTTGACAGTGTTAGCTGCTCTGTAACTACTCCATCCCTCTGACCTTCAGTCACTTCAAACTGTAAACCACGTTTTGTGCTACTGAACCATGAGTCTGTATTGTTTCACAACTACTGTTCATATTTAAGGCTGATATAATAATCACTCAATGAAAACAACAAACTTACAACAACATAGAAAAACACATTTTTTAAATGTTTGTGATCCAGATTTTTATACCTTGAAGACGTGTTATGGATATATTTTAGTTATTTGAACAGAAAAACAAAGATAAAACTGTTTTGTGTGTTTGTGACTATTCACCTCTCTACCAAGTTCATTGAACGTCATAAAGAAAGCCCCGTTAGTTTGCTGTATCTGTGGTGCTGCACTGACTGCTGTGATTGATGCTCATCGCTCCTCTCCTCCAGGTGGAGGCGCTGTAGGACAAACAAACACGACTGCTTTCTGGACGTTTTCATGGGAACTAGAATATAAAGAAGCAGTGATGAAGCTGCTGTAACATGTAAACACGTTGTTGTTGTTGTTGTTGTATCAGCTGTTTGTAAAAAGACTGGGTCCTGCTGTGTTACTCAGGCTGCACTACAGCGTCTATTCACAGGCGCGATCCCACTACTGAGCGGCACGGGGGCTTTGACCTGCTCCGTCTCCGACCTGGGTCGGTGCACCCCTCCTTAGACGACCTGGTGGTCCTGGACTCCCCCAGGAGCACCATACCGATACCGAACTTAGTGCGGACACACGATCTTCATAGTCCGCTGCAGCTCAGAGCTCCTGAGCTCAAACGATCCGCCAGCCTCAGCCTCCCGGTAACTTGGATTACAGGCGCGCGCCACCGCACCCGGCGAGAGAGCTATTTGTTCAGAGAGGTTTGTGCTTTTACAAACGTGACGTCATCACGACGCACGCTCCAGCGGTATCTTTGTACAATTTCCCCAAAACTCTCTCAGTAATAAAACCGTATTCTCTTATTTACTGAACAAAAACACCAGTTTATTCTTCACATAACTGCACGTTTTATGTAACTTAAACCTATTCTGACGCTCAATAACAAGACAATATATTGAACTAAAAAGCTTAAAAGTGGATCACAATGTGAACACATTTTCTTTATTCAAACAATAAAACTTTGATTACTTTTGTCTCCGACATTTCTATGACAAAGGTGCAACATGACACTTAAATCTGGTGTGAGGTTTAAAAAAGCCCTTTAACCTTTTCTGGATTCTACTTCTTAGACTGGTAATGTGTTGTTATTTATGAACCTCTGGTTTATTTAGCTAAATCTGGTTCAACCACACAGCTTCTTTCATTTGTTGTCTATTAGTTCTCTTGTCAGGACTTTGTAGATGTGTTGACTGAGCTCTCTTTACACCTTCTGACTCTCCTGTGTTGTTACTTCTGTTAAGATGGTACGATTTTACATCTTCATAATATATTAACCCCTGTTATTATTGTGCCAAAAATGCCCCGAACAGCTTCTTAAAACTCACAACCTAAATAATCAGTTGAGATTAGTAATATTATATTTTGGCTTGTCAGAGAATTCAGAGAGAAGAAGTTTACTTGATGTATACATTATATTTATCAACTATTTAATCAATATTTCTTTTTCTTTTTTTACAAACCATGTTATTTTAACAAATTTCACCTCCTCTAGATTATCCTGTATTTTGTAAAGGTAGCTCTAAATATCAACAGTGTATAGTGTGAGCTGAGTTTAGTTTTAAGCAATCTGATTGGCTGATCCAACCCCTGTCACAGTTGTAGAAAAAGGTAAATAACAACTCTCCATTATAACGTTCCACAAATTTGTAAGAACGAGGTTCTGTGGAGAATTTGAACCCACACACAATGCATGCAACCTCTCGAAATAAGTTGATTTGATGAGTTTAGTTTAACAATTCGTTTTACATTTAGTCAAAAGATGCATTGTATAAGTTCTGAAATGGTTCAACAACTAAGAAACACAAGTTAACAAAACTTTCTGCCAAGATTGATGGACTTTATTGAGCTTTGAGAAGAGCTGGAGGTGATCGTGGAGAATAAGGAGGAGGAAGAAGCATCTCTGATGCACTGCTGTTGTAGACGGTCCTTGATCAGCTCCTTATAGATCTGAAAGTCTGTGATGTCCACCAGGGCCTGGAGAAAACCACAAAGACAACATTAATGGGAGGTTATTTTCTCAAACTTCCGCTAACGTTAATGGGAAGTTATTTTCCTCACCTTCCGCTAATGTTGCCAGGAGGTTATTTTCTATTTTCCGTACCTTCCACTGACATTCCCTGCAGGTTATTTTCTTAACCTTCTTCTAACGTTCCCTGCAGGTTATTTTCCTTACCTTCCACTAACGTTCCC